TCAGACAGCTTTCATGCGGGACTAGAACTCACCGTCTCCTGGTGATTGGCCCAAAGTCACTCAAACAGCTTTCATGCCTAAGGCAGGACTAGAACTCACCATCTCCTGGTTTCTAGATTGGCCCTTCCACCACTCCACCAACCTGGCTTGATGGTGACTGTAATATAATTCACGATATAACCGGGTTTCGGAAGAAACAGATCAAGAAGGCGTCTTCCGATGTCCATCACAAGTTTGTCTATCAACAAACACCCCAAGCAGCTCACAACTTACTCACTTGGGCAGTTTCTCTTCCCTTTCGAGAGTCACACCAAGGTCGGATCGCCTCTCTTGCTCCTTCTTCAAGGTTTCAGACAACCTGTACAGGTGTCCCGGCAGCAAAGACACGGATGCTGGGATCTTCATCTAAGGATAATAATGGAAGACAGGCTAAGTCAACAGATTAACAGAGCTGGAAGGGACCTTGTAGGTCATCTAGTCCAACCCCCTGCCCAAGCAGGAGACCCTACACCATTTCTGACAGATGGCAGTCCAGTCCCTTCTTGAACGCAAAAATCTATGTTTTTAAAAACATTCAGAGGTAGCCCTCGGCTTACGAGCCTAAAATTGAGCCGAAAAATTTTCTGTTGCTGAGGGTGACATTTGTTAAGTGAATTGTCAGGACTCCAATAAATCCACCCCCATTCAAATCATAAGTCTCTAGCCGCATCTATCAGAGTAAAAAAACTGTGATTTATTAGGAGTGACCATGTCAGTGTTAGCTGGGTGCAGCCGACACTAAAATACATCATTCATTTTCCCCTTGATGTATATTCTCCCTGGATGTATATTCTCCAATGGGACACATCCATAGCCAAGAGTCATCAATCATGCTCTCCAGTAATATTCTTGCGTGCCGACAGCTTTGGGCTGCCAAAGATGATTATCTGAGGCATTTAAGGAATGCACTGCTTTCCTCCCACTCCCTTTCTGCTGGCAACTAAAAAGACCAAAGGAGTATTTTTTAGTTGACATTCAGCTCCCCTCACTTCTTGAAGGTGACCTGTAACAACACAAAATAAAACAAATTTATTGCAGGCATAGAACTTAGGGTTGTGAACCGCCCCCAGGTTTTGTTGGGTTTTCTGCATGGAAACCTCATCACAATGCGATCGGCTTGGACATTCCTACTCTTTACCCAAGATGCCTCCGATAAAGGGTAGCCCTTCCACTTGATTACATTTTGGAGTTGTCTCCTGTGCCACCTCGAATTGAATTTGCCCCGTTTTACGACCACAGTGGTTAAGGGAATCACCGCAGTTGTTGTGGTTAGCCGGCAGCAGGTGCGGATGGCTAAGGAGAGCGAGGACTCAGATGAGGGGCCGGGACCATCAGGGAGTGGACTGCTGCCTTCAGAGATTGTGGGGGCTGGCAGCAGCGATGAGGAGGTTCCCGAGGAGCCTGTGCCAAGTGCGTGTACGCGCAGGATTACTCGGAGGAAAGAACAGTTACAGCAGCACAGGTGACTCGGGAGTAAGGCTGCTAGGTAATGGCCCCTCCTTGCAGAAGGCAAAGACGCTCTGAAGCTCAGCCTTGTGGACATTATAGTTAATATTTGAAAATTCTTGTAACTAATTTCTTATCTGTGGGTTTTTTGGCAGCCTTGAACAACAACTTGGCAAGGCTCTTTCTTGTCTGAGCTAATTAGTTGGAAGCAGCCTTTTATCTGTGAAGGAACAGAATTCGTAGATTAAACTTTAAAAGGTTTAATCAGCCTTTGTCTTGTGTTTGCTCTTTTGGAACCAGGCTGGGTCAGAACAGCAGTTAATAAGTTAGTAACCTGTTTGTGAAGGGACTCCGGTTTCCCCGTGGATCTCCCGCTTGTCAGAAGGTCGCAAAAGGGGATCGCGTGACCTTGGAACACAGCAATGGTCATAAGTATGAGTCAGTGGCCAAGCGTCTGAATGTGGATCACGTGATCATGGGGAATGCCAGAAAGGTCTAAGTGTGAAAAACTGGTGATAAGTCACGTTTTTCAGTGCCATTGTAACTTTGAGCAGTC